GGACTTGAGCAGCTGATAGGGGACTTTGACAGCCTTGTTGGTCGTTCGGCGCTGTCGCATAGTGGCGAGGCGCAGCAGTTGCTCCAGGATGTCGAAGCCGTGGCCAAGAAGATAGAGACTGATTACCACGTCGTCTTGGAGTACCAGGATACGCAGCCCAACGTCCTTCAAGCCTCGCGGACGGCGGAGAACCACACGTCACGCCTCATTCCAAGCTTGAAGAAACGCTCCGCGGAGATGGATGATATGCTGCTCTATGTCACGCAGGCACGGAACGCCATATCGGCCGATTCAATTAGTTTTATGCGCAACATCACCGAGATCACCACATTACACAGCAGCGTTAAAAATCAGATTAATGTCTTGAACCAAGCCGAGGACGACATGACGACCTTTGACTATTTGCGTCTCATTCACCAGCTCCCGTACATGTACGCCTCTTTCGTCTCCGAAGCCGTTCGGCGCCGGGAGTGGTCCGACAAGATCAAAACGGATTCGTCGACACTGGCCAACGAGATGGCACTGTTTCAGGACGAGGAGTCAAAGAGACGGAGGAAGTGGCACAAGATGGTCGGCAGCATGTACGGATCAGACAAGACTGAGGCAAACGTACTTGGGCTCGAGGTCAACTTGCTCGGCGAAGAGGAGACATGGCCCAGCATGGTCAAGCGGGACCTGGAAGAATTCCTGGAGCACCTCCAGAAGCAACAAGCCGAAGTGGATATCATTGAGGATGTGATGAAGCTTGTGAATGAGTTGAGCAGCCCTACGAAGCAGCAGTCGAAGAGGTTGAAGGCCTTCAAGAATGGAAGTGTCCATGAAGCCGCCCTTGGACGAAGTGGCTTGATGATCCGTGGCGATGATGAATTACTGCGCAGCCTCCAAGACGACAAGTCGAAGCTCGAGAACAAGTTGAAAACGGCGGAGAGCCGTGTACGAAGATTGGAAGACTTGCTTCACAGACAAAGCGCAGCTTCTCGACCTGGTATTGGGGGCTTGTTCGGACACGAGAGGAATGATTCGACCAACTCCGTCAGGTCGACAGCGACAGTTGATGACCATCGACGCTCCACAGGAAACTCAGAAGCGCTTTTGCAGAGGATACAACAGCTCGAAGGTGAACTGAATGCTCGTCGGGCATCTGATCAATCAGAGGCTTTGGCGAAGCGAGTGCAGCAATTAGAGAGCGAACTGGATCAGCGTCAATCATCCAACGATAATGAGGTCCAGCAAAGGATACAGCACCTTGAAAGCGAGCTCAATGCCGAGAAAGAGAAATCGGCGGCGTTCGAAAAGGACCTCAGCGTCCGGGCTACAGCGCACGACGACGTCAAGGACCGAATGGAAGAGGCCAACTCTACTAAGAAGGAGCTTCTCGAGAATATGGAGGCCCTGCAGCGGGAATTTGTCGAAGAGCGCAAGTCTCTGGAGAACGAGATCAAGGGACTCAAGGCCCGTATCGAAGACACCGAAGATGAGATTGAGAATTTTGGCGAGTCGAGAGAAAACGAAAAGGCTACCTACATTGAGCGAATGCACGAGCTAGAGGCTGAGGTCGACAGGCTACAGAAGGAACAGAAGGATGAGGCCCTCAAGACTCAGGGCCAAGTCGACTTCCTACGCAACGAGGCACGACTCCAAAGGGAACAAAATGAGTCTCTCGACAAGCAGCTGCAAACCGCTAACGACGAGGCCAAAAAGCTTGCCAAGGTACTGGGCACTACGCAAGAGATGGCTGAGACACAAATGAAGGCGCTCCGCGATGTTCACGACCAGCTGTCGCCGAACGATGACACTACGGAGGACCTCAACGATCTCATCGACGCACTCATCTACCGGGCTACTGATGTTACCGCTAATATGAAGACCCTCGAGAGCGACCGATCAATTCTCAAGGCCGATCTGGAACAAGCTGACGAGCAGATCAAGAACCTGAAGGCCACAATCTCTGAAACAAAGAACAAACTTACTTCCGAAGAAGACAAGTCCCGGCACCTGAAGGAAAATCTGGAGGGAGAGAAGGCTCGTGTGACTGCTCTTGAAAAGGAGACCGTCGAGGGCCGAGAGCAGCTTGATCAGCTTCGTGCCAAGATTGCCGATGGCGAGACGGGCTCGGAGAGCCTGAGGAAGAAGCTCGACGAGGAAGAAGGACGAATCAGTTCTATCACCGAGGAGCTTGCCTCCAGACAATCCCAAGTCGGCAGCCTCGAGGAAGAGTTGCGACTCTACAAGGAGAAGATGGAGAAGTCTCAGTCTAAGCTCTCAGCTGTGCTTGGTCACTTTGAGTCTAGATCTGAGAAGACTAAGGATTTGACGCAGCGTCTTTACTCTCAGAACGACAGATTGTGCCGGCTGTTGGAGCGACTGGGCTTCTCAGTCACTCGGCAGGACGCGACCATGACAATCCAAAAGGTTCCTAGGTCCGAGAGGGGCACCATGAGCCAATACCACGCCGCAAACGACTCGTCTGATCCTAGTCAGTCCACGATTCGCCGCTCCGGCATGCTCACCAGTCGCACTCTGGCCGATAGCACCGACCTTGAGTTGCTGTACTGGATGAATAGCAACGATGCCGACGCAGAGACCGAGAAATACGAGGCTTTCATGACACGGCTGGGCACGTTCGACATGGATTTATTTGCTGAGACGGTCTACAAGCGTGTCAAGGATGTTGAGCACCTTGCCCGGAAACTCCAGCGAGACGCGCGCGCGTACAGGGAGAAGGCGCACACCCTTCAGCGGGACTCGCACGAGAAGATTGCCTTCAAGCACTTCAAAGAAGGTGACCTCGCTCTGTTTCTGCCCACCCGAAACCAGACGGCTGGCGCATGGGCTGCTTTCAATGTTGGCTTTCCTCACTACTTTCTGCGGGAGACAGATGCCCATCGTCTGCGATCCCGCGAGTGGCTCGTGGCTCGCATCACAAGGGTACAGGAGCGCGTCGTGGATCTTTCAAAAAGCATGCATAAGCAACTCCCCGATACCGACTCGGCTAATGGCGAAGAGGACGATAACCCCTTCCAGCTTTCCGATGGTCTGCGGTGGTACCTGATTGATGCACACGAGGACAAGCCCGGCGCGCCCGCAACGCCTGGGCTGGGCAAGTCTACCATCGCAACGAACAATGTCGAGGCTATGGCGGACATGCACACACACGCGCAGACAAATGGCAAGGACAAGCAGCGCGCCAACACCCATAGCATCGAAGGCGTTAGCAAGGCGCTTAGCAAGAGCCTAGAGAGCCGTCGGAGCAGCTCCAACTCGAAACGGGCTCTCCCCTTTGCTGTAGGTGGCGGCGGTGCGGCACTCCTCAAGGGTAACGCTTTGGGCAGCGAGACAAATTCTCTTCGCGCAGTCGCTCCGGATACGCCGACCGAGACGAACCACCCTGAAGAAGGACAAGTGGGACCGTCGACGAATGGACACGAGCAGTCGGGACAGGCAGGGCAGGCATCGAGCCCGCTTGCGGAAGAGGGTCAGGCCGATAGACCCAGGTCGCCCGAGGTACGGAACATGATCGATTCTCTCGTTGGCCCCTAGACCAGCAACAAAAGCCTCCCCCGTTTCTCTCTCTCTGTGTCTCTTTCTCTCCCTCTCCATCCGAGGTTTAACCGCCTTCTCACTGATTTCGGTCAGAAAGCTCGATCGCCTTTGAGGCTGCAGCGTCAGAGGAGCGGGGTCAGCGTCGAGAGTCCGACGAAGAAGAGCGTGGTTTGGGATTCGCTTTGGAGCGTTGACCTGAGCTATGAGACTGGTGGTGGCGGCGGAGGCGCGAAGAGGAAGTGGGAGGGCCCGGAACGCCGGTAGAGAGAGACAGAGGGAGAGCTTGTGTGGAGGGGTTGGGTTGTGGAGGAATATTGTACGAGCATTACACAATACCCGAAGCCTCCTTTGTGAAGAAGGGGGTGTCTTTGAGGAGTTTTTTGTGCTTTTGTCACCCTTGGCCTGGGGGCCCTTTGCCGACCTAGCATTCATCCTCGGACGCTGGGTTATGACGAGTGGTTCTTTGTATTGGTTTCTTCGATGGATGAAAGGGAACATGGGAGGATCCTCGGAGCGCGGCGGCGTAGCATACTGCCCAGGGACGTCGATTGCCACCTTTTGGTGAGAAGAGATCCGACGGGGATGGCACCGGATGATGGTCGTGGTGACAACGGAGCGAACTTGAAGACGGAGTTTCTTGACATCTTTTGGGCACTTTACTCTTGGGACTGGAAGAGAACAAGATGGGGCTTTGCAAAGGACTCTGCATGCATGGCGTGCTTGGGATAGAGGCACCTTAGAGGTATCTTTTTTTTCTGAATACATTTGGTGCTCTTGTTTACCTTTAGGGACTTTCTAAGGTCATGTGCATAGTGTGGTGTGAGTCTTCAACTTTGCGATTTTCTCTGGCCAACATTGTGCTGTCTCTAAGTCTGGACATCGTCAAGTGCCCTACACTGTATTTAATGCTACCTCGCACAATGCCGATTTATTCATTTCTTTCCATTGATATTGCTCTAACCGAGGGTATAATAAGTCAAATGACGGACCAGCCTTACTTGGATGTGATCTCCTTGTGTCTATAATCTTGTTGTTCTTGAAGCCTTTGAGGACTCTGGAACGGCTTTCATGAGTAGCACAATACTCTTAAGCCATCATTGTTAGCTTGATCTTTCCCTCCTTTGCCTCGGAATACAATATCTTCTTTCACAGTTCTGTAAGGTCTCTTTAGACTAAGGGCAAAGATGTTCGGTGCTTGCAGTACGGGCAGGCTGTATGATTCCTACTTGAACGAGAGCAAGAACGAAGAAAACACATCGAAAATCGAGGTCATTACACAATCCCAACGTAGAAAGATTGATTGCCGGCGATCAATAGGACTGTAAAGAAGAACACTGTCAATACTAAAGGTTTCAACGAACATCTAGACATCCTCATACAGCCGATTCGACGAGCTCCCACAAGGTTCTCTCAGCCGATTACAATTTACACCGTATCACCAAGACACATTTGACAGAATGGCTGCCGCCGCCGCTCCTCAACAGTGGGTCGCACCGACAGGGGCCACAGCATATCCCAAGATTGGAGTGATTCTCGGGTGCGCCCCAGACGACGGGGACGTGGATCTCGCATACAAGATTCTAGGCTTACACAGCAGAGACGCCGCCATACCGGCAATCCGGCCGCCGGCTCACGAGTTCGTGCACTGGTGCAACCGCTTAATCGCCAAAATCTATGAGGAAAGTCTCGAGTTCCAGCTCGGGTCCGTCGGCCACCGGCGGTTCCTCGAGGCTAGCAGACGGGTCCGGTCAGCCATCCACACGATTTCCGGGATCCGGCGGCCCGGGCACGAAGATTGGCAGATATTTGAGAATACGTGGATCAGTCACTGGAAGCCTAATGGTACTTGTGACGATGCGCCGGTTGACTTGACGATTGCCAACTGGGATCAGAATGTGCCTACTCCTGCGACGAAGACTATTTTCGATGCGACGTATGGGCCTGATAGACAAAAAGAGAGGGACGATCGGGCGCGAGATCATCGGAAGATGGGTAAGACGTGGATGGCGACGAAAAACATGGTTCGGGATGCGCGACAAAAGGAGGCTGAGGAATGGCAAGATCTTGTTGCTTGTTATGGGTTTCAGGCTAGGACGAATTTTCGATTTAAGGGCAACGATCCTGAGTTTCACGAGGTCGAGACGGATGACGAGAACGATGAGGGAGAAAATGATGAGGAGGAGGAAGAAGAAAGTAGAGAGCAGGAAGAAGACGCAGAAATGCGGGATAAGAATACCGAGGAGCAGGGAGAGGATGATGCCGAGCAAGAGGAGAGCAACAATACGCAAGAAAAGCCTAGAAGTCCAAAGGGGAAAGGTAAAGATCCGGAGTTATACGGCGTCATTCCACAGAAAGAGGGAGACAGTGAGGAGGAGCTCCTCCCATACACCTTCTTCGCGAGCCCTGTGCCGAAGGGCGAGGATAGTTTGTGGTATTCTCTCTCGTAAGTCCCCCCCTCTCCCACACTTATTCTTTTGTTTCGCCCCAGACCGTCATTACTGAGAACCCGTTCTAACTCTTACAGCGTCCTTGTCCACAACCGGTGTGATCTCGCCAAGACTATCAAGGGCAGACTGGCCAACTGGTTTCATTCCCAGCTATCGGACCCCGCTTCACCCCGTTTCCGGATGTACTGTCAACTCCTCATGGACTCGGCTACGAACGTGTCCAAGGACAAAATCAAGGAATGGGGCCCTCTAGATCTCATACGCTGCCTCAACAGAAACGAGCGGGACGCTGGCCTACCCAAGGAGTCCGCGTACCACGAGATGCTCTACCTCATCGCGGACTACTTTGGCACCGAGGTGATTACCTTTACGCGCCCTGACAAGCCCCGTGAACCGTCAGACCCGGTAACGACGTTTCCTTCCAGCCGCGAGGCCTCTCCAGAGCGAAACGGCCAGCCAGGTCCTTCGGGTACTCAGTCCAATAATGAAGCGATCGCACGAGAGAGAACACCCAGCGAAGATTCACCCCCACGAGAAGAACCTTATGCAAACCTTTGGTTGGAGGAAGGAAGACAAGTCTTCGAGATGAGAGTGTATGGAAGTATACCCCGGGAGGGGTATATTCTGGACCCCGACAACCAAAAGAGAGAGCAGATTCTCCTCGTTACTGACTCTAAGCTAAGTTACTTTCAGCCCGTCACGCGAGTAAGTCCCGAACTGCCGTCAGCGGTAAGAGGCGGGCATTACATCGGCACGCGACCTTACAAGATGTGGGAGCGCTGGCCACCGATGCCGTGGTGGCCGGGGGCTAAGTACCATGACGGCAGTAAGAAATGGGTGGGCGCCTGGTCCACGACCGACGGGCGTAGTAGCATCACCGACGACCAGCAGCTGGAGATGAAGCCAATAAGCATTTGCAGAAACATCCTGGACCCTGTAACCGGGGCGCAGATTCGAGGTCGGTATTTTGAAGCACAGCCACCCCGTAACCTGCAAAACCGGTCATATCATGACATGTTGCTCACTTACGAAGCTAACACGGACACGGACAGGTATGGGGTGATGTGTCCCACCATAACCGTCATAAAAACCTGGAGGACCGAGAATCCCCCAGCTGGCCAGGCGGATCCGCCGCTTCTTCGGACGCAGTGGAGGGCCCGGACGGGTGGGGCCGATGGCGTGAAGTATCGGTCAAAGGGACATCTTGAGAGCCGGAAGCGTACGCGTGAGGAGTACGCTGCGAACGAGGGTCTTGGGTTTGACGATGATTATGGGTGGTTGAGGATCGAGGCGACGGAGAAGGAGAGCAGGGTGAGGGTTTGGCATGATAAGGCTAAAAGGAGGAAGATGGGCTGGTAATGAGGGGTATCGAGAGTTGCGTTTCTGGGCAAGCTTGTGCTTTTGCTTTTGGCTCTTATTCGGTTCAGGGGGGACTTGGAGCTTTTTGCATAGCGAACTTTTGTGAGATGTCTGGTTTTAGCGGGGCGCTTCGAGTTGAATATCAGAGCAATGATTTGAGGTTCCAAGCTCACTCACATGAATAACACTTTCATCGGCAAGTTGAAAACTTGCCGTCCAACACCCCGGTCCGCCAAGGGAAGCACTCGAGTAGATGGCATGTCATCCCTAGTCAGCAAGATGCTCCTTAATCGGCTCGGCGTAGGGCCATCAAGCTGTCTTCGTTTTGATGCGGCCTTGCGACTCTTTGGCCGCGCGATACCGGGCATCGGCAACCCAATTTTAGCCGGAATCATTGGCTTTATATATAGACCATGCCACGAAAGAAAACACAAGTCACAGAAAGGCTACTCTGGTGCATTCATCGTGGCTCGATGCTTTGCAAGTTTCAGCTGGAGTGATATTCATTCGATTGTATTCCTTGTTTTACACATACACTTTCTACACGCAAGTAACTTAGACGCGCTCATCATTGTGCCTGACTTCTTCCTCAACAACTTCAGAGCCGTCGACAGGATCGGTAATACCGGTCATCTTAGTAACAATCACAGCAGCGAACAAGTCGCCGCTAACGTTGGTGGCAGTGCGGAATCGATCGATGAACCAGTCGATGGCTACGACAACACCGTACATTCCGCTTGGGGGAATACCCACGCTCGATGAGATCATAACCGTCAAAACGAGAGAGGAGCTCGGGATTGGGGTGGTGCCGATGGAAGCCAGAGTCGACAGCAACAGGATGATGATGTAGTCGGCCGCGTTAAGGACATGACCCTGGGTCTGAGCGAGGAAAACCACTACAATCGGGAAGTAAATAGCGGTTCCGTCCATGTTCACGAGACAACCCAGGGGCACGGCGAACTTTGTGACCGTCTCGGGGACCTTGAGCGTCTGACGGCAGCACTTCATGGTGACGGCGAGGGTCGCTGCCGAGGACGCGGTTCCCCACGCCGTCAACCAGGCGGGCGAGCACTTGAACCAGAGGGTGTATGGGTTCTGGCGGGTGAAGGCGAAGAAGATAAGGGGGAGAATGATGAAGAGGTGCAAGAACATGGAGCTGATGGCGCCGCCCATGAGAATGCCGAGGTTCACGCCGATATCGTTGATGTCGAGCTTGAACATGTTTGGCAGAATCAGGAAGAAGACACCGATGGGGGCGAGCTTGATGAGGAAGGTAATGATGATCATGATGAGGGCCTCGACCTCGCGCGCCGCCTTGATGAGGGAGGATTGGCCGTCGCGATTGTCGATGAGGTAGCCAATCACGACTGCGCTGACGAGCACGGCGAGGAGATGATCAGAGGCGAGGGCGTCGACGACGTTCGCTGGAATGAGGGAGTTGAAGAGCTCGGTGACGGTGGCAGGAATGTCTTGATCTTTCCTCTCCTCGTAGGACTCCTGGTCTTTCGCGGACATGCTGTCTGTGGCGATGGACTCTGCTGAGGCGACTGTCATGAGGCGGGCCCAAACTTGGGAGGTCATGATGATGGAGTGGACGATGGCTACGATGGTTGTGATGACGTAGTACCCGATTGTCCACTTTGCGAGCTTGGCACCGCCGTGGGAGATTTCCTTGAGCTTTTGGACGGCGAGGACCATTGCTGTCACGATGAGGGGCAGGACTGATTTATTGTTAGCTCCAACGCTCAACGTGTCTGATGCAGCCGCACAGGAGCAAGGACCAGCATACCCACGGCTTTCAGAGACCGCAACCACAGGTTACCGGGGATGATGAGAATGGTCGTGGCGGCTGCGGGGATATCTGGGTGCGCAGTCTTGACGCCCAAACCGATACCGACGGCGATGGCGGCGGCAATGATGATCTGGACGGCGGAACCAGGCTCGATGACCGGGTGCCACCACGGTTTCTTCTCGTGGACCGACACCTCCGATGTGACGGAGGTCTGGTGCTGGACCTGATCCATCGAGGAGTTTGAGTTCTCTCGGACGGCCTTGTCGGCCGTGCCATACTCTGACTTCTCCATCTTGAGCTGGCTTGTGGACGGAGGTAATGTGTCTAGATGTTGGCGAAACAACGGGGTTGCCTGGAGACGGAGTCACAAGATACTGGACAACGAGCCGTACCAAGATCGCTACCACGCTGAGAGGAAGAAGGACGAGAGAAGAAGTTCCATCGACCCTGATCGGCGACTCGAGCGAGGGATATATACGTGAAGAACACCCGGCTCGTGGGTCAAGCTGAACCTGGGTTGCACCGAGAGTCTTGTCTATCAGTGTGGCGAGCAGGGGCTGGCTAGCCTACGATGCCAAAGCTCTAATCGGCCACATCTTGGATAGGGGCCGAATAAGAGGAAGCTCGCGTGGGCGATTCCGCTGGGGACTGGAGGGTGCGCCAGGCCATCAGGTTGGGGATTTCACCAAGGACGAGATAGGGCACGCGTATCTCTCACCCGCCAAGAAGGATATCAGAACTGGGGGAGGGTACAGCTGTTGGCATCTTTCACACGAAAGGAAGGTGTAAGAGGATCCATTCCATCCCCGCGTTACCCACCAGTCGCGCGTCGATGAAGGAGAGATGGGTCTTGGTGTCTTGGTCAATCCGCAGGTCTGGATTAAGACTGCAAGTCTCCTACACACGACCGTGCAGAGGGTTGGGCGACTGGCCACCGGCGTAGGACCTTGGAGAACGAGAAGGAAGTCAGATAGTACAGGTGCGTGCGTGACTGGGATGCTATGGGGTGGAAAACTGCGACGCAGCATTGGCAGAGGCAAGGTCGAATTGGAAGAGTGGGCTGGCCAGGCGAACTTTTCTGGATCGTCCAAAGGGAGGGTACCGGACGACAAGAGATAGGACAATGAAGCTTGACTGGCCGAGTCAGTTTGTCATGTCGGGATGGTCGTCTGGGTATTGGCCTTGGCTGGAAACACAACTTGGCGGTGACGACGGGGCTTTGCTGGTGTTATTCATCGAACGGTGAGAAGGTTGTTTGCGTGAGTATCATTGAGTATCAGATGCCTTCAGTGGTATGGTGCAAAGAGCCTCATACCTGGCTCGCATCGTTGCAACCTCAACTGACCACTTGTAGCGTTGTCGCAGACACTTCGACTGATCCAGCTCGAAGCTCTCTCTCGAGCTTCCATTCCAGGTTCACCCCACAAACCGTGGGTCTCGTCGTCTCCCCATCTTGACAATTGTCAATGACAGCTCTGTCAAGGGCCTAAACTCGGCCTCCAGTTTGCAATCGCGTTGTCAGCTAGCAAAAAGCTCCACGGAGAGCAAAAGGATTCGGCGCGTCCAAGAAAACCAAGGCTCGTTACCAAGGTGCCCAGGGTGATTGCGCCCCGGTTGGCATCCGTCAGACATGACTCTCGGGCGACGTTGGTACGACCGCGGCCTCCGCCCATTGGTCCGCCACGGCGAATGCCGTGCCGCGCCGAGCCTTGCCGAGAGGCTCGGCGGAGGAGCGCGAGGACGAGGGTGAAGGGTCGGGCATGGGGCTCCGAGAAATTTGATTTGGGGGTGGAGAGGAGAGGGACCGTCGACAGAAAAACCAACGAGAGGAAAAAAAAGTCTTGGCCGTGGCGCCGGAGCTCGTTTGCTTTCGACATTCCACCCACCTCCGCTCAGAAGTTCCGCTGAAAGCCACGCGTAGCCGTAGAAAAGCGCCGACTTGCACTGGTGGTCGGCAGGTCACCTTCGCGTGCTCCCTTTTGCTAAGATAGGGCGTGAAGTGATGCTTGGCCGATCCACGCCGGTCCGGACACAGATACCCTGGTTCATGTCTGTTTATTACGTACAGTGTAACGGAGTGCAGGGTACCAATGTGGGTAGCCGAGCACTGAGTGCTTTCGAGAAGACTACTGCAACGTCTGACCACTGACAGTCGAGGTGTTCAGTTTTGTCGCCCTGATATCTGGAATTTGACAGATAATGCTCGCTCTTGGGGTGTCGAATGCCTGTTTTTTTGTCCTTCTGAGATATCTTATTGATCTGCTTAAGGGAATTCGGGAGGCAATGAACTACAACGGGCCGAGTCCTGGCGTATGCAGGTCGAGCACGCGGCTCTTGGTTTGGGGAGCAGGCGACGGAGAGCCGGGGTTGGTTGCCGCTGCCGTGGAGCTCCATGTGGCCCCATCTCCCACAACAAGAAGGGATATCAATGGAAGACCGGGATGAATCCAACGCTCTAGCCTCGAAGAAAAAGGTGAGGTATACGGCGGGTTCCTGCTAGGTACAGTCTTGGAAGCGGTGTAGTCCATGTTGGCGTGGAGAGCCTAGGGACCCACGACAACCAGGCAAGAGACTCGACGAGAGCCTCTAGGTAGCATCGACCTCGAATTATGCTCAAAAAGGCGTGGGCTTAGGCTGTGATGGAAGCCGGTCACCCTGCGGAAGGCAACGAAAAGTGGAAGGCATAATAGTAAGACGGACAGAGCCTCATCATGTTCTGGCGGCTAGTTGTTTCTGAAGCCCAAACACTTTGCTAAGCTGGCTCATATCGGAACCTGCCGATGACGCCCCAATGTAATCAGGGTATGACTTGCAGATAGCTGCTGCACTTTCATATCCTGCTGAGAGAATGGCACGAGAAAGCTGCGGATAACAGAACAATGTCCATGCTACTGGGTCAGCAGATATCAAAGATAAAAACCCCAGCAAGACGGAAGCTAGCACGGCGATCCCGAACGAACGACGAGAGCAATTAGGAAATTATAGATTTGAAGTAAACATCAAGCTGTTGCAAATATTGTACCAGATTCGTCTCATCAGAACTGCAACTAAAGAAGAAGGAACAGCCACATGCGACAGTATAGGCAGGAAAGGCTCAGCACGATCATCAATCTAAACATGAGCTAAACTGATAAGCATTGCAATTCAAGAAGGCTACTTCGTAACCCTTCAGCAGACGCCTTCAGACTTTGCCGTCGAGCGATTTCCTTCTCTGGCTCCGACCCAATGCGCAGTAGCTCATCGTCAGAGAACTGCGAGACTGTCGTAGGGTAGAAAATCTCTGGTAGGGGAGCCAAGATGTGACGTTCAATGACTTGTCTACACACGTTGTCCACGAATGTCTTCATCGCAACCTGAGAGATATAATTAGTGTCTTGAGCAGAGAGAAGACAAGGAGGATTTGAGTGCGTGCCTTGTAGTAAGCATTGAGACCTGTGAGAGCCTCCTCACATGCTTGCTGGTCCATACCGACGCAGAGTTTGGGTTGTAATTCTTCAACGAGAAGCTTTCTGTCACTAGCATCGCAAGTTCTTAGATCGTGCCCCCCAAGCATGGCGAGCGAGTCCTCTAGTAGGTCTTTCTGCGATGTGCTGCGCGCCTTTTGGATGTGGTCAGTATAATAGTGATTGTAGGTAGTTGGATGGCGGTCCTCGTCCAAGAATATTTGCTCAAGCTCCTTAAATGCAGTCTTTCTAGAAAGCTCTAGTCGCTCTTGACAGAAACTGCCAATGTCTCTGCGCAGGCGATCCTCGTGGAAAAGCGTAGCCACCGCTACACTAATCCACTTTGAGACACACTCGAGAACAGTGGAAACATGGTATTTTGCGAGATAGCGCCACGGACTGGAGTGCTCATGAAATAGCTCAGCGAGTAAAATGTGGTTGTAGTTGCCAGGAAGCTCACGACCTCTGGTTTCGACGTAGGTCTGATCAAGATTAGCCGCTTTGACTTTGTTACCGATGAATAGTGCGGCAAATCAGAGGCTTACCTCCCTAATCCAGGAGACCATCTCGGTTCGTGTCACAAGGATTTGCCCGCTGCTAACGCTGTAACCATCCTCTGACCGGGGCGTAGGTGGATCGTCGGTGACTTCGCGTTTGTGACCTTGTTCACGGACTTTGGCTGCAAAAGCACCGTTCCGCTGATGGACCAAGGAGCGAAGTCTGCTTCCATTCTTTTTCTCGAAGAAGGTAGATTCTGAGCAGTGATAGTTCCCGTCTAGAGCCGCCTGAGCTAGCTGAAAGTAGCGCATACTAAGGTTGGTCATAAAAGATCGAATATCGCTGAGAGACCGTCGTTCAGGTCCCATGTCTTCGAGATCCTTTTCAAACAAGTCAAGTTTGCGTCTGATTTCCTCCTTCAGTTTGGGCAGCTCCCCCTCAAGGTGCTCATCCAAAAGCTCTTGCAAGAAAACTTTAAGGCTCTCGATGCCAACCCGGCTCATGTCGAGATTCTGAGCCTTCCAGGCTGGAGAAGAGAAGAAGTTCATCTCCCGCTCTGCGCGCTTGTTGTTGCCACTGCCGGTCTTCATCTCGGATGGACTGGGGTTTTTGAGAAGGAAGAAGCCGAGCTTGAGCTTAATAGCGTCCTTGTTCTTGGCGATGTTGGCGAGCTTGGCCTCAGCTCCAGCATTGATGAGATCGGGCTTGGTGATTATACCGACGGTCCGCTGTCCATCTGGGTCATACTCGCGGGCGATCTTGATTATGCCTTGATTGGCAAAGTCGTTGCTGGCCTGAACCACAGCGAGGATGATGGTCCGGGTGCTCTTGAGATAGCTCCGAACCATAGCATGGACGGCTTCCACATCGGCTTGGGACTGTTCTTCGCTGGAGACCGAAATAAGGCCAGGGAGGTCAACAATGCTCAGTTGCAATCCTGTAGGGCCCGAAATCTCAATGCGCAGAGCATCAGATGCAAACGCAGCATCATCAGGAGAGTCGGTAAAGCCGCGTATCCCCATAAGCTTGGAGACCTCCTCAATGGCGACGGGAAGGTCGGAGAGGTCTTCCTCCATCTCGCGCACATAGTTACTGAGAGTCTGTGCGATACCAGGCGGGCGAGAAGAGTGAGGCCGAATGGTGGCCTTCGCCATGAATGGCTCATTAGAGTGCCGTAGAACAATCTCCGTGGGAAATCGGGTACAGAGACCTTCTTGACGAGGGAAAGGCATGCCAGTAATGCCCTCTAGCACGGAACTTTTGCCTGCGGACTGGTCGCCACAGACAACAAGTTGAGGCAAGTCAATCAGGTCGCCGATACCATTGGCACGCAGTTTTTCGATCTGGTTGAGGCGATGGGTAGATCTCTGAGATCGCAGTCCAAGGGATGGGGCCGCGGGTTTGTTCAGGCTAGAGACGGCCATTTTCTTTGTTCTAACAATGGTTGTGGAAATGCGGAAATTTGTAGTGAGAGGCTCAGGCAGATAGACACTTTCAAGTCGATGGAAATGAAGTTGGAATCAAACAGAGGAAAGATAGGTGCATCCTCACTGCATAAATATTTCCATGGTTTCCAACATGTGCAATTGCTTTCTGAGCAGTCTTCACATGCGAGCTGTGGCATTGTAGGCCTGAACTGAAATGGCTAGCGGGCGCCGAATCTATAGATTTGTCTAGACTTGTAAGAGAGTTCAGTTTCGGGAGCGGACCTGATTATGCAGTCACGAGGTAAAATTAATCACACCCACCTTATCTGTCGAAAACAAATTGTTATCTGCAGCGGCACACATATTTCATTGGCTATAGCCGATGTGTTCTTGCAACCGATGAACCAATACCCAATCCCGAGTTTGCTGCAAGGTATGAATATACATGCAGATGACGCAATTTGCGACGAACCTACGTTCTGGCATGTGATGATATGTTGACAGATTTAAGACAGGAGGCTCGTGCTAATTGGTGAGAATTTGGGTACTATTGTTCGTCATATGTTTGCGTTGGCGGTCTTTTGTTAGAAGAAAGTAGTTCCCTGATCAATTGCCGAACGGCAGCAACCTGGAACCAGGATCTCTACCCAGGACGGTATAGGAGTCGCAGTTACGTCTAAATTCCATTGGTATGCAAAGTACCTTATGTATATACAAGATTCATATCGCTGTAATATCGCTGGATATTGGTCTAAGGCGCGCCCTGCGGTTCAAAGATTCGATATGGGTTTGCCCTTGCCGAGATCGATAGACTCACCAGAGATGCTTGGTCATGGGGTATGATGAAAGATACCTCAACAAACTGAAAACAGGCTCTGCGACTGGAGGTTTAAGAAATGGATACAGGAAGTCAAATTGGAAGTTCGGGAATGCGACATTACAGAGCATCACACAGGTGACTGAGTTATCCCACTACCACAGATTTGGCTTTCCGCAACATGCCCGAAAGAACAGTGAATGTTGATAAGCTCGTCTGTCGTGAGTTGTGATGGGATCATCCAATGAATAAGGTTCTTGGTGTCTTGACGTCGGAGGCCCACCCGAGCTAAAGTATAGAGCAAATTCTATCTCGCGAGTGAACTCCAACCTGATCATGTGGGAAAAGCGCTTACGTCGCGGTGAGGTCTGAGATGTCGAGCCCGAAGCGACTCAATCTCAGACTCAGTCCCGAGGACAACCACCCGTTCATCCCCATCACCTGATTCTACATCACTCGTCGTCCGCTTAATGCCGAAACGGAGCTTAACATCTTTCAACTCTTTCGAGAAACTCTCGCTTCCCCCGATACCGCAAGGTTTCCCAAGTTCATGTAGCCTGCTGCTCGTGCTGGTCGTTACCACGAACTGAAGGAAACTATTTCCAGCCGAACATCCGTTTCGGTGTAATGCCCTCCACCCAAGGATGTACACTGTCAGCGTGACTACCAGGCACGAAACATACGGGGCATAGAATTGCCACGGCTCGCTGAAGCTGTAGATGTTTGCACCGGCGAGTGCCTCAACAGGCTGACTGTTGACCCATAGAGGTCCAGCCGACATTTGATTTAACGACACGGTGGAGATCACGACATCCTGTAGATATCTCTCGATTGATTGGGGGCTGATATCAAGGGTTGGGTTGAACTTATCCTCGAGTCCAATGTAAGGGCTTCCTGCGGCAAGGGAGCCAGGTCCGGGCTTAATCCATGGTAGTTCGACACCATATCTTTCATCTCGGTCTTTGACGCATTAGAAACAGGTAGACTGATTTGGTCGCGTCCTCACTTACATAGAAATACACCGCCGACCATGGCATCTACGGCAGCTTTCCTGATAGCAAATGCTTGGGCACGTGTGAAGTTTCTCGTGAGCTCTTGCTGATTTATGGGCGAGTCATAAGCTGTTTCGTATCTGTAATCGAAAAAGTACGTTGCGAATTCTTTCTGAACCGGTGCTTCGTCCGTCCATATCGGTGAAGTTTTGAGGATCTCAGTCTCAATCTCGCGGGTGCCATTTTGAGAGTCAGCAATAGTAAAGTTGTAGGTAGCAAGCTCCATTGTGCAATCCATTGTCCTGCGACCATCCGGAATGCACTGCCCGCCCTTTATTGTATCCCAAGTTATGACAAGAGTGTTGTTGTACACGAAGGATTGGTTCGAGTATGCCCCGTTTTCGGTGTAGAAAACGTCTCGAGTGCAGGGATTTAGGGTTGGGTATTTCTGCTTTGTTGGCTTCGGCTGATTGCAATCGAACTTCGGTCCATCAAAGACCAAGTTGTAGGTACAAGGACCAGTGCAAGGCGAAGCAAAATGTACCGGCTCGCCAAGACTGATGACAAGGGAGGCAGTTTGTCTCAAGTTTGGTCGTATCTCATCTCTAAAGTATCATAGACCCAGTCAGCTAGTAGAGATTTGGTCATGGTGGATTGTATACTAACACGTAGACAAGATCGTTATCAGGCTCCATCAACGAGAGCCGCATAAAGTCTCTGGCACTCCCGTTTCCCCAGTCGCTGATATCCAGTGTCGGCACATTCGTCAAAGTGACCGGCAACACCGCATTTTCAAACTCAACTGTCAGCGCACCAGGCGGGAAGACGACAGTAACTGGGATCATGAAGCAGAGAAACGCGATCAACCAGAGCTGGGGTGCGCTAGTCAAAAGATCCGACCGGAACAAGTTCCACGGACTCAGAACCAGGGTCACAAGCTTATCGATTGTGTATGCTCTGAGTGCTTTGCGACGGAGGAGTCGCCACAGAGTCTGGTCGTAAGCTACTGCGATGCCACTGAGAAGACAAATCTCGACGGCGATGGCAAGAAAGTTAGCTAGAGCAGCCTGTAAGTTCTGACTGAAGCCAGACGTTGCAACAGGCTGACCGTCCAAAAGGATGAAGAAGGCCATGTGAGTGGCCATAAATCCCAATGCTGGTAGACCGGAGACTTGTCAGCATTGAAGTAGCTGTGGTTGCGCCGCTTATTCAGGTAGAAAGGCCACCTATACCTAGTACGTAGAAAGCTATCATCTGCCAGACGACTCTACCCGAGGATCTCCGACGGCCCTTTAGTTTTACTTTGCTGCTACCCTTCTCTGCTGCTGGAAGCATTTCGACATGTTCTGGCCCTGTGGTATTGTTTGCACTGCGAGTTTCGGCGGGTACAGGAGGTTCTTCATCTTCGCTGTCTGCCGATGAAACGCTGTATGCAGTGTTGGATGAAAGGTTTGCTGAAGTCCTTGGACTCAAAGAAGCCGCTTGATAGGTGGCACGGGTCATGGTGTTGGCTATGCTAGTCATTCTGTCCTGTGTGAGAAGAGAATCTCCTGAGGATAGGTTCTACTGCATGGGGACGAGGATCAGACGAGAGATTAGAGGAGACGGCGGGACAATATCTATGAAGGCTTCAAAGACGAGGCTGTGATGATGGTCTCGTTCAGTGGCGGGCAGATTACACGCGAGCTGCCGTCGACAGCACATGACTTCATATTCTGCATGACACCCTCTTACAGCCTTCCCGTTTGAGTAGACCGGTGAGAAAGTTTCGATGGCGAAGAATTAAACTAGCCACTAAAGAGGTTGTTCTGACCTGCAGTCAGCGAAGGTGCGATAAGCTACATGGGCCAATCATCACAAGGACACAGCCTAAACCGACGTATTGCTCGAAAGCTGAAGGGGCTGTGTAGATAATGTACAGAAGTCCAATGTTGTGGTATAGCCAAGCTGAACGTGTCTAATATCTTGAATCGCCAAGTTAGTTAATGTGTTGCGACAACTTTTAGACATGGAATCAAGCATTCCGTGCACTCGTAGTGCCATTGACCCTTTCCTTGACTTGAGCATTGATCCTCTTCATCTCCCGTGCCAACGGAAGAAAATCGCTTTCCTGCTGTGTCGCAGTCTCGATACCTTGGGCGACGCGGTCCAGCAAATGCAAATCCTCAATCACGTCGCCGGGGCTGGGGGCATTCATGGCGTTGCTCGCCAGATGGGCATAGGCGGTGTGCGCTCGGTAGGCGCCAAGGATGTACGAGATTGCCTCCGCCGCGGGGAACTTCCAGATGTGGAGCATATTATACGTCAGGTTGAGGATTCGACGCGAGGCTCGGGTAGAGAAGTCCGTCCTGGGCACGTTGTTGTCGGTGCAGACTGGTACAGGGCAGTTTGAGTTTAGGAGAGTAGCTTTCCGCAGCATAAAAATGATGGAGGTGTAGCCGGTTAGGACCAGGCCTGCCAACATCCACAGATCCATGTGGTTGTCGCCTGATCGTCCGATCCAGTCTTCCTGTAGCGGCGTTAATAGACTCGAACCCCATCGGATAGAGCAGTGCTGCAGGTTGTGAGGTCGACTTACGATTCCCCATTCATCAAATAGTACCTCTATCTCGTGGCACAGAGGCTCGATGGCCGCGACAGCTTCTGACTCGTTCTCGAGTCCTTCAAGCGTTTGAAAGAAGCGGATCAGAATGAACGCGAGTCGGCTGCGAAAGAGAAACGATATCGTCGAAACCTGAGCACCTTCCTCCGGGGGTAAGTCGAGTGATAGCCATGGTAAATTTACCTGCCACTTATCGAGGCTTGGATATAGAGTCGCCGGCTTGTTATAGATCAAGTGGTAGAAGAGGTCCGTTTGAATGAGCTCCCACATGCCCTTGCGGTCTTCGTCAGTGCTGGGACAACCGGTGGCCACAAAGTAGTCATTACTGTCGAGACTGTGCATCTGGAGTCCTTTGGCGTACTCGCAAGCCAATTGGTGCAGTTCTAGACTCATTTCGAAGTCATAAGACTCTGCTGCAATGCCGGTCTGTAGATCTGCTTAGTGACGGTACCCGTGGCACGTAAGACGAGTACAAGGAGGTGATAGAGGGGTATACCATGAAGATAGCAGCAATAAAATCAGTGATCGAACCGGTGGCTTCCTTCTGCCAGCATGGCATAGTCCTAAGACAGCACAGGTAGAGCTT